TTCCACTTCGTCATCATCACAAACACAAAAAAAGAAGGAAGCGAGGCCCAGTTCATGAGCCAAATCATGGGCTTTCCTAACACCAAGACCATTGCCCCCCCTCCTAGCGGTATGGAAAGGGTGAGAGGCGGAATCTGGTGCCTATGGAATGAAGCCGAAATCTCCTGTGAAGTAGTGGAAATTCCCTGGAATCAAGCCATCGCCCAACAAGCCCACATCTTTATCCGGCCGGCTCGCACCGGATGAAATTTAAAATGTAAACTCTCCATGAGCAATCCAAATGCCCTCATTATATCAAAAGCTTAATTTTAGACGGCTTTCTCTGAATACTTGTCTGCATGAGTTAATATTTTTCAAAACTTTTTAACATAGTCATGTACAAATACTCTCATCAGCTATAAGAGCATCTGTATAGGGGGGCATTATTGTGGGTACTTGTATCAAGCTCAATACGTGGCAAGCCCTACAGGTGCCACATCACCAAAACCCCACCTACGTGGCAGACCAATAAGGCACCACGTCTGGCACGTCGTATGTTTGATACATGGCGAGCCCTATAGGCGCCATGTGCCAAGGCAACCAAAACTATATGCTTAGCCTAAGCGGGAGCATATATACAAGCCCAAATATATCTAGATATGAAGAGCCCTGCAACAGGCAGCACCATGGCCCCGCAGGGCCCATGGTCCTTCATACCTAGCTCCAAGGCCAAACAACAATACAATTAGCCCCCGGCTCACTTGTACTTGGATTGATAAACAATGGCTCTCCTAAAACATTGAGATAGGCCTGCGGCCCATTCTCTTACTTGATCGCTAAGCAAGCCCCTCTCTTAAACATTGAGCTAAGCCCGCGGCCCATTCTCCTACTTGGTCACTTGGAAGCGAGCCCTTGGCTCTCTTAAACACTAAGGTGGGCCCTGGCCCATTTATCTACTTGGATGCCTGGGTTGGGAGCAGGACCCAGGCACTACTGCTCGGGATCATCAGAGGATACTGGACTGGTGGCTGAGGTCATGGGATCGTCGAGATAGTTGTCTTCTTGCTAAGACAACTCTATCTCTACCAGGCTTGGAGAAGAGGCAACAATGACCTTACGTTCATGTCATCCGATGCATATACGAAACGTTACTTTCTGCCTGCCACGAAACGTTGCTCTCCTCCTGCCAGCAAGCCACAGACGGCAGAAGGGCTTAATATCACTTCTGGCAGAGTTGAGGAGAACGAGCCACCTGTCCAACAGTTTGCTTGGGCTCCAATACTCCTGCGGCCTATATAACGTATCGTATATGCAGTGAGACATAAGAACAACAATACAACCAAGTCTCATGCTAAAAACACTCTCTCATACTTTACATTAGTGGTCAAAGGTCTATCACTGCCAACCTCTCCCTCTCCAAGCTTGCCTTGACCTCCTCCTCTCCAACTCCGGTGATCCCAAGCCATTGAAGTGCCCGCCATCTTCCCGGACTACCTCTAACTACACCTCTCACCCACACATGTCAAACGAGGCCTAAGTCTAGTCTAGACGGAGTGAAAAAGTAAAATAGTTGGGCAACTTCGTTTGGGAACAGGCTATTTTAGTAACTTTTTAGCTTTTTGGCTAAAATATGAGGTAAAAAAAATTAGTATGTTTGGAATAAATTTTTGATTTTTTATGAAAAGATGTGCAAAAAGTAAAGAAAAAAAGAAATCTTTGACTTTTTGGTATAAGTTATAGACTTTTTGATTTTTTAGACACTTTTTGACTTTTAGGCTAAAACTGCTGCATTGAAAAAACTTTGCTAAAGATCAAAATCAGCCTAAAAATACAAAATTTATAAGCTGCAACCAAAAGAGATCTTACTCTTACTATTCATATTATGTGATCAAAACTGCACTTGCACTAGTAAAAAGAATAATACTAAAAGGAAGAAGAAAAAGAGAGCATGCTGAAAGAGGGGGGGGAGATTGCCTTTCTATACCTTATTATTCTTTGCCTAATGATAGCAATCTTCTCTATTTGAGTTGTAATATGGACACATAAATCAATTGAATCGCCCATGTCTAGACTACGATAATAGTTACTAATAGGCTTTGTAGAAAGAATGCTATTCGGATATATAATCTTTTGGTTGTCTAATCTCAGAAAAACGGTAGTCAAGATATTCATCTCTTCAACTACCATCTAAAAGTCAAGGCATAGTACATACCAAAAGTCGAAATTCAATAAAGGGAAATGTAAAAGAAGGGGCATAAGCACGATTTCAAACAAAATATGATTATCATACCTGAACTCCATCAATCTCACACTGATCACCTACATCATATGGGTGCATCACAAACAAAAAGACAATGGCTTCAAATACAGTCTTGCAAGAGTTTCCAAATATGAATGCCACAACGACGATCTAAGAGCTTATGAGGAATAGAAATCTGCTGGTTGCAATTCCTAGTGTCAAGAGAGAAACAACCGCTATAACGATGACAACTAGTACATTCACCATATGATGAAGTTTGTTGACAACGGTTTTTGTATCATCGAGTGTCAAGGCAAGCGCTCTTCGTTCTCTAAAAGCATTAACCTAAAATAATCAGGCATAACACATTATCATATTTGCATGATAGTTTTAAAAGCAAACAATATGTAAACTGATGACAATACTCCATGTTAAAATAAATAAATGTAACACTTTTACACAATTAATTAATCACAACAGTAAAACTATAAATAAAGAAGAAAATAATTTTACACAAATAAATGCACCATCTATTGCCAAGTTCTTACCACCCAGTTCTTCAGAGAAGACTGGCTTATTTTTTCACTTTCAGGTGAGCCTCCCAAAAGACTCATGGTCTTCAAAGCCTCATCTTCTAACATAATACGCAACACATCTTCTAGGTAGATGAACCTGCCAGAAAAAAATATTCAAGATCCTCCATGATGTGGAACTAAATCTTCACTCAACAAAAGGACTTTGTCATACTAAAATTCACATCATCGGATAAGTTTTGCCAACATTAACAATTAATATTCTTCCAAAATTGCTATCAGAATTTGAACTTCTTCGTAACTCTAATTATGTGGCCCTTCTTATCATCCTTTATTGTCATTGGTTCATTCTTCAAAGTGGTCATTACTCTGAGAAAGCTCACCCCTGCCTTTAGTCAAGAAAACCCTTTTTTACATCTTTCAACAAATCAATTGTTAATACTATAACCTTCGGTGTTCTTTTGACAACGAACCGCTCCATTACAAATGAACCAGAAACAATTTTAACCAGGATGGTCCTGATCATGGCTATGAGATATATTAGTAGTGCAAAAACATAATTGAAGAACTGATCGCAATGGTCTAGACCATGAATCATTGAATTATGGAGCTTTATAGCGTGTCAAGAATTATGTGCCATGGAGTAACCAAAAGAAAAGAAAAGAAAAGAAAGGTCAAGGGCAAGAAAACAAAAGAAACCCTAAAATCTCTTATCTCAATAGCATAGTCTGCGAAACCATTACATAAAAGGCCTATTTATAGGCATCCACGGAAATTATTATTAAAAGTTGCAAAAAGTAAAACTACAATTTTTAAAACATAATAAAACAATCAAACTTAATAAATATAAAGTAATGCAACCCCACTTGAATGGGAGCCTCATGCATTGGGTCACACTTTTTTATCCAAGTCCCTCATCCATCACTAACTGGAGAAAGGGACAGAAAACAAAAAAAGTTGTTATTCTTTCCATGAACATTCTTTGTAAGTTTGAGGAAATCATCAAACAAGAGTACCACTGTGGGCGACAGAGAGAGAAAAATAATATAGAGCATCACTCAGTTCTTTAAATGATGCAATCACCTTTATTTTATATACTGTGATGTTTGCAGGGCGCATTTCATACCTTCAACCATCAGCATGGTGTCTATAAAAAACTGACGGTATGCATTTCGATGTCCTGCACGGAGCAAGGATAAAAGGGATCCAACTGTTTCAAAAATCACTTCATGCCGAGAGCTAAAACATATTATGTTAATTTTCCAACAACCAGTGATAAAAAAATAAAAAGATGCTGAAACATGTACTCAACAGAAAATGAAGAAAGAAATATGAAAAACAAGCAAGAATAGTATCAAAAACATTGTTTGTTTTGTAATAAAAAATTCAAACCACATATCTTTTTTTTATTTAAACACAGGCTAAAGATTTACAACTAATAGTCATTTGATAGTTGCTATTCACGTAGCATTTTGTAACCATAAATTAACATCCAGCCATCCACAATTAAAATATTGTTGAGAATATGTATAGAGGCCAACACACCCAACCACAGTGCCAAAAATGTAATAAATGCTGCTCGGAAGATATCAAAACTATCTCAGGTGTAATGCATCATCTGTTCATTCTTTTTTCTTATTGAGGAGGTCGAAACCTTAATTGCAAGAACTGGGTGCAGGGACGAGCGTGGGATGGTGAGGGCACATAGGAAACATATAAGGTTGGAAGCAACTCGGGGAGTGTTTATGTAGTTTATATATAAATATACTGTAAGCATTTCTTGTCTTAGTTGGGGCATAATGTGCTGTCACTCTATAAAATATACAAAATCCATAACTTAAAAGTGAATACCTTAGGCCATCTACAGTCCTTACTCAAATTTGAATAAAACATTGAGTTTCTTTTATATGAACCACTCCCAATGGGCAAACTTAGATTTAAGCATAAATTTGAGTAAAAACTTCACTAATGGCAGATTGATTAATTTAAAACTCACAAAATAGCGTAGAAATTTTTGAGTAAAGATTTGAGTCTCCCTTGATTTGGGTAAAAATTTGAGAAAAACTCAATTTGTTATAAATTTGGGTCAAGCAATGGAGGATGTTTTAAGTGACTTTTACCGAAATTTGAGTCAAGCATTGGAGATGCCCTTACAACTCCAAACATTACACAAAAGTCAAATAACATAAAACTCCATTAAGAAACGTAAAAGGCAAACATTCTTTCATTAATAACCAAAGAAGCATCAAACTTGCAGACAATACACTAGAAAATTACACAATTTCATGACAGCACACTAAAGAGAATACTTGTTAACCACACTCACCAAAATGTGGGCTCGGCGAAGAATGGCAGTATGCGACCAATAAGAGGTAGGACTGCGGCAGCCCTGCCAAGGAAGAAAACTCCGGGAAAATTCTTTGTTGTGTGAGTCAATAGCTTCAATACCGCGATGACCTCTCTCTCATTGGCTACACACCAAGAAAAGCAACGATGAATCCGAGAATTTATTGAACAGAGGGGTTTTAGAGAGAGAGAGAGACCTGAAGAAGAGGGGACGACATAGGCGTAAAGGAGATTGGGAAGAACAGCGCAAAATCTGATCTCGAGAGCGTCATCGTCTCCGATGTTGGGAAGTGTTGATGATGAAGCTGCTATGCGTTTGCGAAGCTCGTGAACTAGGCTTGAGAGGTTTGCCATGGCCTCTCTCTTTCTCTCTCTCTCTTCCCTCCTTTTTCGAATTTTACTTCACTCACTGACTTACTTGACTGCAATTGATGAGTCACCACCGCTTGTTCTCCACTCGGATCCAACTCGGACAATTCTCCCTTATTTTATTTTGGACCCCCATAAATTGAGATTTCCTTCTCCTTATACCCTAACAGTGGGAACAAAATTTATTTATTTATCAATGAGATGTGCACATCATATACACATTTATTTTAAGCCATTAGATTTTTACAAATTAATTTCAACCACTGAATAATTTGATTAGAAATCTTGAGTACCTTTTCAACCGGTTACAATTTTTACAAATTTCTTCACTGATTGTTCTCTTTCAGCTGAGCTCTTCACGTTGTTTTTCCAAAGCCCCCTTTGTTTTTGAGACCCCACTCCGACACTCTTCTTTGCCTTCAAAGACCATCCCGCGAACACGACCTGCCCTCGACTTCGCCTCAAGGTATGTCTCTCACTCTCTCTCACTCTCTCTCTCTCTCTCTCTCTGTGAAACTTTTTTCTCTCCTCCTTTCTTCATCTCCATTCTATGAAACCCTAGACCGCAATCTCCTTCTTTGAAACTGCCCCTTTCACGTTTGTGAACTCACTGGGTTGGTTTATAAAATTAGAAAAATATTAGGTTTAGGTTTTTTTATGTTTGTTTGCTTTAGTAGTTGTTTTGATTCCCTTCTTCGAAATCCCCTTTTGTTAACCCCTATTTCCTGTATCGATTCTTGTTTCCCATTCTTCAAAATGTCCCTTTCATATTTGTGAACTCACTTGGAGTGGTTGGATTCTAAATTTAGAAAAATATGATATGAATAGCTTTTGTTTGTAATGTTTGTTTGATTTGGTAGTTGTTTTGACTCCATATATATAGATATATCTTGAAATTTTGGTTGAGTTTGTGAAATCTGATGTGTGGGTAATTGAATTTTGTACTCATGTAATTGATACGAGACTGTAATTATTTATTTATTGAAATCTATTTATGTTTCTAATTCTTCGTTTCTTCTTATGTTATACTTCTGGTAATGGTACTTTTGGGTTATCATTGAACGTAATATTCCCCTTCTAGATTAGTAGTTACATATTTTACCTATATATTTGAGGATTTTTATTGATTGATATACAATTCTTCTCATGATTGGATGTTGTCGGTGCATTATCTATGCACATATTATTTTAATATTAATTTTATATTTGTTTGGAATTCCATCAGATTGAGTAGGTTCTTATTAACATTCAACTCAATGTAATACATAATGAATGGCGAAACCAATGATTTTCTGTAAAAGTTAGGGGAAAAAATTCATTCTTTATTATACCAACAGATGCCCAGCATAACCAATGTATAATATTAAAAAATCCAACGGCTTTATGTTGTCTAAGAGGAAGAGTATGATTAAGAGATAAAGGATTTATAGAATAGTGATACACGTCAAATCACATTACTAGAGAAAAGAAAATTGAACAGATAACAAAATAAAATCAAACCAATTGATGGATTTCTTTAAGTGTTCAAACTAAGAAGCCTGAAGGAAAGGAGAATTTACTGAGGGCTTAAATAACTTGATCTCAATCAAAATTTCAAAATAATCTCTAAAATAAGAGCTTGAAGTTGTATCTTTGTGAGCCTTGATCCGTAGAGCGTACTTGATGTGAGATAACGTGGAGGGATCAACACGTGGTTGAAATGCTTGGTGATTCAAAGTATTGAGAGTTTTTGGCAATAATTAAATTAGCATTTACTTAATTTACATTTCTAGAAAAAATAATTGTCAAATTCTGAAACTACACTAATTCTAAATATTCCCTCTAGTGATATATTTACCTGCCTCTCTAGCATACACTTTATTTTGATCGGTTGCTTATCTAGCATACACTTGAAGGTATGTCTAGGATGACTCTTGTCCATTCTTCATTTACAAAAGTGTTCCAATTCTTTGTATACACTACTTTTATTGAGGGCTTCCTACATTTATGAAATTATATTATTTGCAATAATCTTTTGATACTGGAATTTAAAGTAATAATGTTTGTATAGCATATGCTTTTTAATAACGGATGCATAAGAAGGCAATTTAAATGTTTTACCTGGAAAATTAGTTTTCCTTACAAGCTGTTAGATCCTTGACTAGGATCAGTTTCAAAACTTATTTTGCAAAATATTAGAATTTAACAATTTTATTAGCTGTCATTATTGTCATCATGAATGATCTTGATAATAAAATTTTGGAATTTTATTAGAGTATGATTTTTATGATGCTCAAATGAAAACATCAGATTTTCAAAAAGGCTTTATCAAGATCAGAAAACCCAATAACAAGAATCAAATAGTCAGCCTAGTTAAAAGCAACTCATCTTCCTCTTTGACAGAGAAAAGTACCAGGAATTAAACTAAGTTCTGATTTTTAAGTAAACAGCAATTCTACATAATCAGGAAAAATACTCGGAAAATTGTCTACAATGTTAAATGGTTGGATCAAATTGATATAGGGTGTGGTCCACATCGCATGAAGTTAAATTTATGTCAGACTTTCAAATTGTAGGCACTTTTCTACATACATATCATTTATGTTAAGCAAGAATTATAACCAAAGCCATAGTTGCTGCCATTTATAGTTACTTACTGTATGATGTATAACTTCATGTGACTATGATATATGGACTGATGTTGGCTCAAATAATTTGGAAAATACACCCACAATTTTATTTTCTTTCAAATTTGTTTGGAAAATAATACACTGGCACAAACTTGAAGGAAAGAAATACAATTTTTGACATAAACAACTATTAAAATACAACTTTTTCGCAGATATTCTTATACAATCTAAACTACAACTTGTACTATTAAATAAGACAAAAAAGAAAAAAAAGAGAAAGAAAGAAAAAAATGTGCTTTGCTTTTATGACGCTGAAAACAACATATTTCCTTAATGTTATGTTTGGATCATGGATTTAGTTAAGGATTTGGAAAGGGAAAGGGAATAAGTGGTGAAATGCAATCATATTTAATTCACATTTCATATACATTTTTCTTTTTTCTTTTAAATCTCTACTCAAATCCATGATCCAAACACAGCATAATGGTTCTATGAAGATAAGAAAACCCAATAACAATAATCCAAATCCAATAGTCAAATAGATGAATAGGCCGGATACCAAGTTAACAAAAAAATAATCCAATAGTCCATCCAATTAAAAGCTAAACTACTACAAAATTAACGAAGTTATGATATGTCAAATAATCCAATAGTCCATCCAATCAGATAATCTTTTTTTTTTTTCTTTCTTTCTAGATCTTTTATTTTTTATCTTTTAAGTGGCCAATCGGTTGGTGTTGGTACATTTGTTTAACTGTTTATGTAATGGTTACTGATACTTTGAACAAAGGTAGTACAGTTTCATCTCTGTTATTGGTTATGCAGTTTGTTAATGTGAAAAGATGTGCAAAATAATATTTTTCATACATAGATCCTTTCTTTTTGCCCCATAATCATAAATCTCCTTAAGTATTGTCTTCTTTGCTAACTCTGTTTTGATGTTCTGTTGTTGTTTGTCACAGGTCCTCAATTTCTACATCTTAACGTAGAAGTGAAGCTATACCTCACCTCTCCCTCCCTCCTTAGCAGTTGCATTGGCAAGTGTGCTTTTTAATTTATTTACTTTTAATTAATAGCAAGGCACAACTAGGTGTGCTTTTTATTTATTTGTTTAATTTAATTGATAATAGGATACTTGCGAGTGTGCTTCATTTATTTATTTTCTTTCAATTAATAGCAGAGCACTGGTGGGTGTACTTATTCACTCATTTGATTTTGATAATTAATATTTGATTATTTATTTGTTTGATATTAATTTATAGCAAGGCATTGGTGGGTGTACTTTTTTGTTAATTTGTTTCATTTTAATTGACAGTAGAGTACTTGCAGGTGTGTTTTTTTATTATTTGCGTTCAATTGATAGCAAAGCACTAGTGGGTGTGCTTATTTGTTCATTTTCTTTTAAGAATTGATAATTTATAGCAGAGCACTAGCGGTTGTGCTTTTTCTATTTTCTTTTAACAATTGATAATTGAAAGCAGAGCACTGGCGGGTATGTTTATTTGTTCATTTTGTTTTAATAATTGATAATTGAAAGTAGAGCACTGGCAGGTGTGTTTTTTTATATTTTAATTTATAGTAAGGTACTTGCAGGTGTGTTTTTAAATTTGTTTGCTTTGAATTGATAGCAGAGCACTGGCAGGTGTGCTTATTTATTTGTTTGATTTTAATTTATAGCAGGGTACTGATGGGTGTGTTTTTTATTTGTTTTTTTCATTTTAATTGATAGTAGAGTACTTGCAGGTGTGTTTGCTTATTATTTGCATTTAATTGACGACAAAGCACTGGCGGGGGTGCTTATTTGTTCGTTTTCTTTTAATAACTGATAATTGAAAGAAAAGCACTGGCGGGTGTGCTTTTTATATTTTAATTTATAGTAGGGTACTTGCTAGTGTGTTTTTGAATTTATTTGTTTTGAATTGATTGCAGGACACTAGCAAGTGTGCTTATTTATTTGTTTGATTTTAATTTATATTATGATATTTACGAGTGTACTTTTTATTATTTTGCATTTAACTGATGCCAAATCTGCACATCTGTTGCCTACGTGCACATCTGTTGTCTATGTAATTTGTTATGTAGATATGATGGATGAACCTAAAAGTAGTAGGCAGAAAGAGGTCAACAGTGAAATTGACAATCAAGTTGCTTCAGATGGCAAGGACGATGTTATCGATGGGAAAGAAGAAGGGTTAGCTTTCCAAACCTATGATAGTTTACGAATGCTTACTAAGGTTGATATTTTGCAAATGAAATTCAATTCAGAGGAGGATGTTTATGCTTTTTACAATGCATACGCTAAAGTCATTGGTTTTAGCGTACGAAGAAGTAGGAAACGAATTTGTGGAGACAACAAATTCGCTTGCCCGGTCACCGACCGGTTGTCCCACCAGACGTCTATTGTCTTTTGATGAAAACCGTTGGAGCCGCTCGTATCAGATCGAGGAACTTGCCTTTTTTTATTTAGATTTGGTGAAAAAATAGCTGAATCGTTGGAGATGCTCTTAGGAACCACAACCTTATCTTCTTCTTTTTTTTTTTGAACTGAACCACAACCTTATCTCATCAAACTAAAACTAGAGGTGGGAGCGGGTCGGTTGCTGCCATGGAACCTCTAATCCGTCATTCGTCCGTCAAATTGGCGAATTGAAAAAAATTAATCCGCATTCGTTCGCCAATCCGGCGAATGTGGATTAAGCAGATTGGCAGATGGATGCAAATTGGTTTATCGGTTTAAAATTTTATAAATTTTCAATATAATTTAACTTGTGCACTTCCTAAAAAAATATATTTACAATTAATGACTTAAAAAAAGTATTACAATCACTGAATGTCTCATCCAAAGAAATAAATTTTGAAACTTTAGAATATTACAATCACTGCATGCCTTATCTACATATTACAATCGCAACATACCCCATCCATATAAAGTATTACAATATGTGGTTCTTAAAATACAAAAACAATTCAAACCACCCAAACTATAAACATAGCAGTAGTAGAGATTGTATGTATCTGTATTGTTATATTTATATCTTTTTTTGAAAACAAAAATCAATTAGCATATATCATCTTATTTATTTATTATTTTTAGAGTTATATTTAAAAACCAAAAAATATAGATAAATAATATATATATATATTTTTTTTCAATTCAAAAAATATATTAAAGTTGAAAACTCTTTTTCAACAGAATATATTCAACAAAATATTTAGACTTTTTTTTCAATTGAAAACACAAACAGAATATCTAAATAAATTGAAAACATAAAATCTTACAAATTACTAGGAGTGCTCGTGGTTTGACGATTCGGTTGCGACCAAAGAAATCTCAAATCCGCCATTCGTCCAAAACTAGGCGGATTATAAAAAATCAATCCGCAATTGTCCGCTGGTCATCACACATCCGTTTAAAATACAACAGATCAATTTGGTTCAATCGATTTAAATAAATTGATATATCCGCTGCTCACCCATACTAAAACCCTTTTGATTCCTCCATAACCAACGTTATCTCATGGGTAACCCTGATACAACGTGATCAATGAGGAATCTCAAATTGTACTGGTAAGATTACAGTTAAGTTGAGTTAGTGAGAGATAAAGAATGTCTATGTGATCTCATTTTTCTTTTTTTATTGATCTGTGAGACGTGGGTGTTTTGAGAACTTTTTAAAAAGTCACGCTTCATTTGGTAAGCCTCTCAAATTATAATTTCACCCATTGATTTGAGTGTGGTGTTTGTTTTAAGCTTTCAAATTATAATTCTACACCCATTTTGCAAAACTCAATTCAAAACATAATCATTACTTTTCAAAAACTAAACACATAGTTCAAAACTCTTTTCAAAACTCAATTCAAATCAATATTTTAATATTTTAAATGTTTAAGTATTTTTAAAATATTTTAATTTTGTTAAGATTTTAAATATTTTAATATTTGAATATGTTACGATTTTTTAAATTTTTTGAATATTTTTAAATATTTTAATTTTTAAATATTACGATTTTAATTTTTTAATTTTTAAAATATTTTATAAAAATAAATTCAAACTCTATTTTATAAAAATATTTTTAAATATTAGTATTTTCAATTAAAAAATTGATTAATGTTATTTTCTGTTAATAATAAAAAAAATTAATTGAATTTTAAAAAGAGTTTGGTTATGAGTGTTGATCAGAATTTTCAATAGTGTGAAAGTAGTGTATTTTATTATGAGTTATAACAATTTGAATTAAGTTTTGAAAACTCTTTCCAAAACTCATAGCAAACAAATTTTTTTACTTCACATATCAAATCAAATAAACAAAACTCAATTTCACACTCAATTCAAAACTCAATTCAACACTCTATTCAAAAATCATAACCAAACAAATTTTCTACACTCAAATCATAATTTCAAAACATACAAACTCAAAATACAATTCATATTCTCAAATCATAGTTAGAAAGTCTTATCAAACGGAGCGTCAGTTTTTTCTTTTACTTTTAACCTTTTTACATAAAAAAAAATTCACAAAAAAACCCATAAAAGCTAGCTTTTTTAATATAAAAAGTCAAAAAATTCATGTAAAAAACTAAAAAACTAAGGCTCCATTTGGTAAGACTTTCTAACTATGATTTGAGAATACGAATTGTATTTTAAATTTGTGTGTTTTGAAATTATGATTTGAGTGTAGAAAATTTGTTTGGTTATGATTTTTGAATATAGTGTTGAATTGAATTTTAAATTGAGTGTGGAATTGAGTTTTGAAAGTTTGATTTGAGAAAAATTGTTTGGTTATGAGTTTTGGAAAGAATTTTCAAAACTTAATTTAAATTGTTATAACTCATAACAAAGCACACTACTTTCACACTATTGAAAATTATGATCAACACTCATAACCAATTTTTTTTTTTAAATTCAATTAAAAAAATTTATTATTAACAGAAAATAAATTAATCACTTTCTTAATTGAAAATATTACAAAGGAAAATAATTTTTTTTCAAAATAAATATTCAAAAAATTTAAATCATAAATATTTAAATAATCTAAAAAATTTAATAAGTAAAAAATTAAAATAAATATTCAAAAAAATTAAATAATTTAAAATTTTAATATTTTAAATTTAAAAACAACTCTACACTCAAATCGTAACTAAACACATAAAACAAAACTCAATTAAAAAATTATTTTTAAAACTCATAATCAAACACATAACTCAAAACTCCATACTACTTTCACAACTCTATACTCAAATCGTAACCAAATACATAACAAAAAAATTAAAATATTTAAAAATATTTTTATAAAATAGAGTTTGAATTTATTGTTATAAAATATTTTAAAATTTAAAAAATAAAAATGGTAATATTTAAAAATATTCAAAAAATTCAAAAAATCATAACATATTTAAATATTAAAATATTTAAAATCTTAACAAAAATAAAATATTTAAATATTTAAAAAATTGATTTGAATTGAATTTTGAATTATGTATTTAGTTATAAATTTTGAAAAGTAATGATTATGTTTTGAATTAAGTTTTAAGAAATAGGTGTAGAATTATAATTTGCAAACTCAAAACAAACACCACACTCAAATCAATGGTGAAACTATAATTTGAGAGGCTTACCAAACGAAACCTTTGTCTTTTAGTGAAAAAAAATATAAAAAAAAAAAACCCAACAAAAATTTTCCCCAAACACCGCCTAATAGACTGGAGATAAGCCCAACCCCTTATATAATGTATTCAAATCCTTTCCAGCACTTTTTTCATCCTGAGAATTAAAACAAAACCAAATGATAGCTTGATGGAAAAAGTACTGAAGATCTTTCTTGTACAACACAGGTGCACTGATCTGCGGGTTTCACAATATGTATCTCTCAGAACACGCTGCACCAGCACCTTTTTTTTTTTTTTTTTTTTTTTTTTTTTGAGCTTATACAGCGGGACTCACAAAGGAGAGAATCTGATTATACTTTCAAATGCAGGGAAAAATTCAAAAAAGGTGGCTACATTTTAGAAACCATACTGTATTTATGTATATATACTAGATATATATAGCTAAACTTTGTAAACTGCGATAATCGATTACTTCTGATGATACGCTCCAGCTCTGTAAGTATACTTGGTTTGGCATCACCTTCCACATGATCCCGATGACTAACATAAAGATTGCATCAAGCTACTGTACAAACCATAGGATGGATTACATCTCCTAATATTCCCCAAAAGACCCCGAAAATCAAACCAAATGAGTTATGCTTTCCAGCCCATTTCGTTCCAGTCATCGTTTAAAACTCCATTTCTAAAGAACTCGAGATCCATCTCCTGAACTGCTTCAGGCAAACAAAACTTCTCAGGAATATCCGGTTCTCTCCTGGCAAAAGTGTTGTTGCCATATAATATACTGGAAGAGTTGCTGCTACAGGTACCTTTAGAGCTGTCTCTCCGGGCTAGAACACCGCCTGACAACACATTTGCTGCTGCTGCTGCAGCACCGCTGCTACTCGTGCCCCTAGATCTTGATGAGAATTTGCTTATGGCACTTTGATTGAACTCTTGAAGGACTTCTTCCTTGACTTTCCTATTTGCATGCTGCACATCTTTCGCTCTGCTGTTCGACACCATCTCCTGCAGTAATTTATGAATCATGCGCTGTTCACTGACTTCAGAGTTCTGGGAAGTCGGCAAGTCGCTGATTGGTGAGGATTGAGGGCGTAGAAATGGTGAAGAGATTGCACTCTGGCTAGAACAGTCGATTGAACAAAGTGGCTCTCGCTTTACGGTGCTCAAATTAGAATTCAGCTTCATCAATTTCTGGTAAGAGTTCATTCCTGCCAGTGTCGCCTTCTCTAAGCCAGTTGCAATTCTGTCTTTAGGCATGCAAGAGTTCTCATTCATGTCGGTGCTCAGACTGGGACACACCACTATCGATTTATTCTTGTCAGTCAGCAGACCCTCGGTGGTTGCTAGCCACTCGATTTCATGCATTTGCTTTGTCTGGTTATCGGTTGTGGTTTCTTTCTGAGGATATTTCCTCAAGCTCTCTACAAATCAACGTTTGCGTTAGATTATAGCATTAGATATGTGGCCAACTGCTAGAATAATTATTTTGCCCAATTGAATAAAGAGATACAAATTTGTTACACAACCAAAGAGAACATAAAAAGGTGAAAAAAACAAAGAATAGGTAACAAAAAGGGCACACAGAGCCACGTATGAATCAGTTGGCGATGCATTTCTAAAGAGAACATGAGAAGGTAAAAAGAAACAAAGGTAAAAAGAGATTTAGCTCCTCGTATGAAAAGGAGTTGAGAAACTTACAAATGATTGGTTGAGCTTTTAAAATCTGTTCTTACGAAAAAAAGAAATTAAAAAACTAGTTTGGTGAAAAAATTGAAAAAAATAAAGAATTCTCATTATTTCATATGATTTTGTCAAGTGAACCAATGCAAAAATATCAAACTCAACCAAACATAAGAACAGGATCCAAGCAATCATCGAACATAGAAGCAAAATATGAAACGTGGTGAACTAAAGACATGCTAAATGATTGTTGTTTGCTTCATAGAAGTGAATTTAGCCATGCTAAAGGATACGTAGATCCAAAAGGTCACATGAGACGAAGAAAGAAAGAACACACACACACTGCTTGTTTAGACATACCCATTGGTCCAATGTCGTTGTCACAACCAAAAGTCATCAAGTCTGTCATGCTATTGACAACTTCAGCTATCTGTCAATACAATAGTAAACTCAACATATGAGATCGCGGAGAGAATCTTAGAAGGAAAACATTGATTTAAAGAAAAATTAATCTCACTGATGTACCTGCAAGCACCTGACATGTCTCTTGGAAAATCCCAAATCATTTACCAATAATAACTCCAAATTCCCTGTGAGCTGACGGCCTGCTGTTAAAAACCTATACCAAGAAGAATGATCAAGAACCCAAGCATTGTACTTTAATTTGCATGACTATGAACGTTTGTCTTCTTCTACAGGTCAGTTTCCAGTCCAGCTTAAGCTTGCAAATATAACTTGGAAACGTCAAACTACAACGGACACATGGTGTTTGGTGGGGTACTTTTTTAAACAGATTGTTGTCACCCCTGATACACCATGATCATAAATAATTTTCTATTAGTGTAGAAATAGATATTTACTTATGGCCGTGTCCATGTCCTAAACTTTTTTGGAAATTGCCACTTTGGCGTGTCAATCCTATGTTGTATACCTATCTTGTGCCATTTCAGTGCTTCTTAGGATTCTTCTAAAACCCTCCTCTTTTTGCTGTGTTTTCATCAAAGACCTGCTTAGTGTTTGCTAGAAAAATGAAATGAATTTACTTCACATTAGGTATGAAAATTAGAAAATTTTGAATTACTGACATCATGCTTGAGTAGAAAATTATACTTGAGATATGACGAGGAAAAAGAAAACTTTGACTCGTGTAAGAAAAAAAACCATTCATGTTCTTGACTTACATATTGCAGTTTAATTGTAAATCTTGTGGTGAAACTCCATCTGATCCACCATCTTTAATGGAATTTTGATAGTTTTTTGCAGCCTGAACCAACTGATTCACCTGCCAATACAAACACATTTTCCAAGAAAATACAGACGTGACCTGAGTTAGATATGCACTATTATGAAGCATATCTATCGAACAAAGCGTATTTATGTGACAAAAACTTTGCAATTGAAAACAAAAATGGCAGTTGTAAAATCTCAGTTCGAAATTGTCACATTCTGGCAGATTCTCCCAGTCAACAGTCGACATGTTAGAACAGCTTTACATGTTTATAAATAAAATAATATAAAATGTTGTACAACTCATTTGAATCATGTCCAAAAGCTTTGGGACAGTTCAAAGTCGAGCATTAGTTTCTTACAAAATTTGTATAAGAAAATAATATGTAACTACTTCAAAGTGTCCCCACCAATTCATGACATCCATACAACCCCACATATCATAATTTAGGGGAGACAGACTTCATGAACACAAGGTACTTTGGTTAAAGGGTAAAAACAAATAGTCTCATAAAAGGGTAACACAAAAGGAAACTTAAAACTAAAGACATGAATCACAAAAATCAGAAACAGAAATAAATACCAACAAATAAAATGAAGATCAGTTTACAAATAAGTTAGCAGTACCACGAGAGCATCTAATCACAGCTGCTTGTGGAACAAAACACATGACTGGAGGTGAAAATTGCTACCTGCGGTGCAACCAATCTACGAGGTATAAGTTCGTCGTGACTTCGTGCACAGAATTCCCAAGACAGTATCTAAAGAATACAAGTCATGTAATTTCATGTGGTTAAAAGTAATATAATGTCTCAATAAAATCAGTAACATTAAAAATTTCACAATGTGAACCAAATAACCTCACATGTAATGGAAATTCAACTCACCTTCAAGTCAGGGCTGAAAATTATACGAAGTTGACCCTCACGTACAACACGAAATTGCTCATAGACACTTTCTTGGACTGCCTTTTCATAGCTTAACATCATTAATCCAGAAGGGATTCTACATTCTTTTGGAAAATCTAGGAATAGAAGTTCATCGATAACCCCACTTTCAAATTTTATTTTACTAAGCCTAGGAAGTATTTCAAAAATTGCCTCTGCCAAGAGAAGAAAAAGTGCAGAGAAAGACATCAGGTGCTAGCAATGATATTAGACAATTGAAAGAAATAAAAACAAGGATTCAACACATTATGAGACTGAAATAAAAGATTAAGTTTGTTCAACACATGAGGCATAACTTCATGACTAATACCAGTGATTTGTAAGTGTAAAACCAGAATTCAATAATGTCAGGCTGAAGATGCAAAATATAAATAATAATACTGACTTTTCTGGCAGAAATGAAGAAAGAAAAGAAAATGAGCATAATTGATGCACAAAATTGATTATACAATAGAGTTTGAAGCACTTCGTTCCTTTTAAAGGATACGGCACAGCTTCTAGAACCATGGTAGCACTTCACCCAAACAAGCCCAAAAGAGCATAAATGAGAAGAGCATATTCCCATATACTCGCAAGTTCTCCAGTATGTGGTTAAACCACTTCTCCCAAAATTAGCGAATAAGGTGACCTGGAGGGAGGACTAATTCAGCCAAAATTATATTCGGACAACTCGAAAAGTTCACAGCTTCAGGATGATAAAATTGCAAATTTCATATTTGAATGCAGTACATTCATTCAACCTTATAAGATATAGAATTCAGTTACGTTGTCTGCAACATAGGATTTCAATAAGTGAAAACAGCTGACAGCACAAACAAGGAAAATATTCAGTAATTCAGTATCAGAAGGGGGTTACGAAACAAGAAATCTGTTCTTGACATCAACAAAGGAAACCCTTGTGCAGAATGAGTATATAGAACTACGGGTAAAATGAAAATAAGTCTACATTTAAGAAACATAAACCAATGATCTGCTCACCAAATCCCTTCCCTGACTTGCAACCACAGATGTCACAGTGCCATGTCTCCTGAGATAAACCAAAGAAGAAAAATGATGAAAGCAAAGAAGGGTAGGAGGAAGAAGGTGCACATATAGAAAACATGTAGGATAAAAAACATAGCATTATAGTGTAGAAAGACTGTATGACAATGCAAAAACTGACCATAGCTGCCTGAGAGAAAACCCCGAGGGCATGTTCTCCTATACTATCATATAAAGACAGACACCACCTTTTCTTAGCACCAGGAGCATAATACTCTGACACAAATTTCCTCCAATAGGCAATGCTATTGTCCTGTAGAAAGAATAAAGAAATGAATTTTGACCACCATTAAGCAGTACATATTAACACAACTTAAACATGATAAGAAACTGTATGACGTAAGAGGAGGAAAACTAAGCCAGCCATATCATTCTAAATTAACCAACTCACAGATGGTCGATGCCGCAGATGGTATATATACTGCATCAACCGTCGAGAACAGATACCAGCATCATGGGGGTGGATCGGAGAAACTTGATGATTGGCCTGCTGTTGCAAATGATGCCTCATTAGCTGCTGCTGTGCAGGAACCCCTAGAAACTGCGGAATTGACTGCAAAACCTGTCGCTGCTGCTGATTTCGTAGTTTTTGTTGCAGCATAAATGCCTGCAGCTGCTGATTATGATCTTGTAACTGCATAGGATCCTGTTTCTGCCATGGTTGTTGAATAACCTGCTGGTTCATAATATTCTCCGGGTTCATATCTAACCTGGGTTTCTTATACATTTGAGTTATAGCAGGCTCTTGTTTTTTTCCAGTAGGAAGTGAAACTCGATGAGTTTGTGATGTCTGGGATGTGGTAGTACCACTCACCAGATGCTGTGGTAGCAGTCTTTTCTGTCCTTGTTGGCTGTTTTGGTCTTTTTGGGAGGATGTTGTCTGTGCTATGGAGGAAGCATCAATCACTGAAGCTGTGAAATTGGACGAGAATGACAAAGGTGACGAGGGTAAGTTAAGGAAAGAGTCCATACTGGCACTGCCTCTTCTCTTCAAATGAGCAGTTCCTGCTAGTGGTGAGTCGGCATCCGTTACTACTGAGCTTGATCCAACACTTGGTCCTGAATTCGCATTCAGGTGTGACATTCTAGCCACAGAAGCTGACAAGTTTCCAGATGACACATCCAAGTGGGATGCTGACAGGCCATCATTTTGGAGTGATATACTAGAGCCTAAGGACTCAAATAAACTTCCAGTCCTGTGAGTTGGTGCCACTAGCAATGGCAATTGGCCATTCAAATCCATGTAGGTCTCCAGAGGCATCCCTAACAGATGATGAAAAATAACCTCGATGAAATTCAAAGAACCATCATAGAAGAAACCTACAGACAGCATGAAAAACCAACAAACCCATGAATTCAACCAACCAAATTTAAAATATCTTGAATTGAAGGACATCCTACTATCTGTATAGGTCAGCATAGATAAGTGAAATTGCATTTGAACAGTTGCAGCAGTAAATTGACTGAGATGAAACCAAAAACCAAAAAATGACCAGTGATAATTTTCATGCCAACATATCACAGTACTAAACATGGAAAATGGGAAGAAGAACAATTGGGGGGTTTGTGCTTGAGTGTGTAAACCCTATCACCACATACAAAGAGACAATCTAGCTTTTCTTTTTCCTACCCATAGTTTTGAGTTATATGACGATCAAATCAAAAAATTATATCGATAAACCTGAAATTCATCTATTAAAACTTAATTTAAACACCACAAAACTCATGCTCGAAACCACAAACAACACATGCAAAATCGAACATTATACCACAACAATCTCCACGATTAATGACCAAATAAATTCCCAACATAACCTAGAACCCCCGTTTGGCTGCCTAGAAAACTCAGGAAAATAAAATGTTAAAGCCCTAAGGAAAATATTCAGTTCCCACCACATTGAAGCCAAATTAGGCGTGTTAATTTCGTTTCCTTTTCTCTTTTCACACACATTCTCGGAAACCAAACAGCATCAAAAAAACAAGGATACGAAGTAAAGGAAAAAAACCCAGTTGATGTTCATTTTCCGAGAAAATTAGTTCAAAAGAAAGAGAGAGAGAAAAAAATTCAAAAAACTACGGAAGAGACAAGTAGAGAGGGAAGAGAAAGGAATGCAAACCCTAGAAATCGAAGCTCCGAAAAAGCTCTGCGAATCTGTACAGTACCGCCGGCCGAGTGGGCTTGGTTTTTCGTCGCTGGGATTGTATCTACTTCGCGGGAAGTAGACAGTGTGGAGTGTGCAGGAGTGACCGGCTGTGCCGGTTGTCGGGCCTACCTTAACCTGATAGTACGGTGTCCGGTTAGACATACACGTATCATATTTTAAACTCCACACAGCTTGTCTCTTTGTCCACGTATTAATTCGGTTTTGTTTCTATAATTTAATTTATTTATTATGTAAATTTTAAAGGTCCAGCTTGTCTCAAGTTGAAATCAAGATTGGATCCGTTCAGTTCGGTTTATAGGGTCTATTTTCTAGGTCTGTTTTGATAATCTGAATCGTTCAATGTGTAGAATTCATCGAGTACTACATGTCTCTAAAAAATCACGTTGATCGGATATCAATAGTTATGTGATCAAATCAGTTTTGTATAAAAAAAAATAGACGGCGAAACAATTAACAGTTGATAAAAAAACTATTTTGTTCACATAGCTATCGATATCCGATCAACGTGATTTTTTACAGGCGTATAGTACTCGACGATTTCTACACATTGAACGGTTCGGATTATCAAAACGAGACCCGTGATGGGCCCCCACGGGCCCAACAACACGGTCCAGTTTGATTTTGGACTGAACCAAAGCCACTGCCATTTTAAATGTAAAATTGTTCTTAAAAAAGTTAACACATTTTTTGTGCCTTAAGAAAAAGCAAATTAAAATGAATATGGTTACTTTTTCATTCATGCTCGTACATTGGATAATTTAATTTAGTTAGTTAATTTGACTATTAATTGCACGCCAATAAGTTGTATTTATGTATGAATAATTCAAGTATTTGTTTTTATTTTATTTTTGGCATACCAGATATGTGTCTAAGAGATAAATATGCAAATGAGAAAGGGCAGGGTTATAATTTTATATTGAATTTAATGATGGAGCAATTGAATTCGTAAGTTTTATGATAAAAAATTGAGTTGTTTGGGGTATTCTAAATAAGTACATTTTTTTTGACTTTTTGGACTAAAAAGTTGAGGAAAAAAATATGATTGTTTGGGTTAACTTTTTGACTTTTTACGAAAAAATGTGTGTTAAAAAATTGTATAAATTAGTATGTAGGAGAATATTTGTTTTTTGGGTTGTGCGGCTGTCCTTTATGCGCAGGTTGAATAGATGGTAAGAAGTAATTGTCTACTTTTCAGACATTTCACTGGACGGTGTTTTTCGGTTGGTGGGGGCCATCACGGGTCCCGTTTTGATAATCTAAATCGTTCAATGTGTGGCACTCGTCAAGTACTATATGCCTGTAAAAAATCACGTTGATTGGATATCGATAGCTATCTAATCAGGTTTGTTTTTGTTCAACCATTAACTATAGCACCATCCTTTTTTTAATACAAAACTAATTTGATCGTGTAGTTATCGATATCTGATCAACGTGATTGTTTATAAACATATAGTACTTAACGAGTTCTACACATTTAACGGTTCATATTATCAAAATGGGACCCGTGATAGACCCCCACGGGCCGAATAGCAGTGTGTTAAAATTACACTCCAACTGTGCAATTTTCCTTTTGACCCGCATCACAGACCTGACTTATTGTGATTGATGAGTTGCATTTTTGTGTGTAAAATTAATTTTTTAATATTTTTTTTGGTGAATAGTGATAACTTTTTAACTTTTTGAGTAATTTTTTTTTTATTTTTTTGTCTTTTTGAGAGATGGCAAACTTGGCTAGGAATGGTAATGGGGCGAGGCGAGGCCGGGGATCCCTCTCCCCGTCCCCGATCCCCGATGCTCGAATTTTTCCCGGCCTCGGCCCCAATCCCAGACGGGGAATCTGTCACTACCCCCACCCCCGCCCCCAACGAGGATCGGGTTTCCCCGACTCCGAGCATTCCCCGGCTAAAAAAAAATTTCAGAAAATTTCATCATCAACAACAAGAAGTTCATCATCTAAAAAAAGTTTCAGAAAATACAACTCATCATCAACAACAACAACAACAACAACAAGTTCATCATCTAAAAACAGATCTGAAAAAAAAAAAAAATCAGAAAAGTTTCAGAAATTTTCAAAAAATTTAATCATCAACAACAAGTAGTTCATCATCTGAAAAAAGTTTCAGAAAATACAACTCATCATCAACAACAACAACAAGTTCATCATCTAAAAACATATCTGAAACAAAAAAAAATTCAGAAACGTTTCAGAAATTTTCAGAAATTTTCATCATCAACAAGTTCATCATCTAAAAATATATATATATATATATAGAGAGAGAGAGAGAGAGCGCTTCACGGTTCACTCCATGAATCATGATCTAAGGGCTGATTAACGATCTGATTCCGAGAGTGATTCACGATCTGTTGGCGATCGGTGATGTGGTGATTCAAGATCTGTTGGTGATTCACGGGGTGTGATCAAATCTGAGAGAGAAAGCGTGAGACCGAGAGGGACAGAGGAGAAAAGAGAAGAGAGTGGCTCTTCGTGTTGAAGTTTCTAGGGCTTTGAACTGAGATCTGCTAGGGTTTTGAGAAGATGGCGACCATGGTGAGCTTGATCGGTTTGGTGAATCGCATCCAGAGGGCTTGTACTGCTCTCGGAGGGAGACCACGGTGGTGGCGACAGAGAGGGTTTTGTTTTAGGGTTTTGACTCGATGAGAGAGAGAAGAGATCGGCGGAGAGCGTCTTAGAGAGAGACAGAGAGAGACGACAGAGTCGGTGATGAGAGAAGTGGTGCTGCTGCTGTGTTGTGTTTGGGGAAAAGGGTTGATTTATATATATATATATAAGGGGGTAAAATGGTAATTTTACTTCGGGGAAAATTCGGGGCCGGGGATGGGGACGGGGACGGCGACGGGCCGGGGCTTGAACACTGATCCCCGTCCCCGGCCCGAAACTGAACGGGGATTTAATTTCGAATACCATCCCCGTCCCCGCGGGGGTATTTTTCAGAGAAAAACCATTCAAATCGGGGTCGGGGGATCGGGTCCCCGTCCGGCCGGGTTCAAATTGCCATCCCTAAACTTGGCCTTATAATTATAATAACATAAATTGTAATTTTTTTATGATATATGTAATAATTTGATAATAGTAATGTTATGATTTTATATATTTTAGAAGTTACTTGTCAATCATTTTTCGAAAACAAAAACAGATGTAATTATAATTATCAATCAATTTGATTTGTTTTTATACATAATCCTCACATAAAATTTGATCAGTTAACTGTTTTAAATCACCAAAATGAGACTCATCATCATAATCCTACTACTACGAGCCCAATTACACTGTGTAATCTATTTGTGGGCTACAAACATATCAAATCAATTTATATTCTAGTGGGATGTAATGAAATCAAATTAACATGGATTGTTAGTGAATGCCATTAAGAAACAGATCCACCTTTTTTTAAACTATAGTCTATAATCCGAAAATTATGAGTAATTGTGTGAAAGAGTTCAGATTTCACCTCTTAAATGATATGAAAAACTCATTGAATAGCATTTGGATCACTGACATTATTTTCTCCTTGCAACAGAAAAATGTTGTTTTACATTGACTTTAAACTAAACCATTAAATTATCACAACATCATTACATAGAAAAATATTTATTGAATGTATTTAGAAATCGGTAAAAGTCACTGGTTTTGTTGCTCAACATTGATACGGCATGTATTTATGGTTCTTTGCAGCATTCTTCCTACTCCTTTTCTCAATATAAGATTCTAGCTTCCTAAATGCCTGACAAACGATACAAGGAAATTCATTAGTTTCGAGCCCAAATCATTGGATTTATAAATTAATTACAAATTTTCATTTTTGTCGTGTTAACAAAGGTCTATATATATATACCTTGAGCTCCTTGTATTTCTCAATAAGCCTTTTTGTTTTTGAATTTCGGCTGCAAAATACAGAAATGTAAATATCGTCTCTAATGCTTGTGTGTTTAGTGAGCCATCACTAAAACAGCGTCAAACTCGTTAAATAAATAAATAAATAGAATGTGAAATTAGGAAAGAAAGCATAAGAGTAACATTTTAGAAGCATGGACGGAAACATGACACCAAAACATGCTTTTCTGCAAGAGATAAACGAGGAAATTGTAAGCATGTTTATTCCAATACTTTCACTTCCCAATAAAATAAATATGTTTGCGTATTATTTTAGCGTATGCTTTCTAATTTTTGCTTGGCAATATAGATTAATATCACATGAAACTGTTTATCATTGAAAAGTGAGTGGTTAAGGGGCTGACATAATGCTTTCCGCCATTTCCAACTAAGATATTGCTAAATTCTTATTGTATACACAGAACAAAGACTAATAATCATTTAAAATTGGGGGAAGATGACCAAATTGTCTTTCCCTTGCATATCTAAGGTAAGGTACATTACAGAAACATGTTCAAATGGAGGGAGAGAGACTTAGCAAGTATTATATTTCTTCAAATAAAATAGTCTTTTCCCTTGCTTTGCCGCATCTTTCTTTTTTCTTGTGCTTGGCCAGAATGTCCTTATCAGTGTGCCTTGACGTACTTGAGTTGTTTTGTCCTGATAAGATATGTTGCAAGAAGGGTAGGAATTTAATAAATGTAAAACAAACTCTGATATTTCTCGAGGAATTAAATGAATGCACAGATTTAAAAAATAAATTAAAAAAAAAAAACAGCATGATAAATACTTTCAGTTATGCAAGGAATTTTTGGAACTCTTCATTCATCACAACAAAGAAAAGCCTTTGAATAAATTCTAAATAGCTAAGAAATTTGCATAACAACGAAGCATGTCAATTGAATCCTGCTTTCATCTAGGGTGGGTGATCATGGACAAATGGGAGAGTTTTCCCTCGAGTAACTCATCACAAACAACAACTAAAGAACAACTTCAAACAAGGGCTATCAAATTACATGCGCCCCTAGATAGGATTCTAAAACCCGATCTATCTCCCCACTCAAATAATTGAACAATCAACAACTTAATAGAAAATGAGTCAACCATTAACTATGATATGTAAGTTGAATAAAAATGGGTTAAATGAAATTGAGGATCGAACAAATAATAGAGGTATATGTATGGGAATATTTATAAAGAGGTGTTGCAACCACAGAACAATGAATTGAAAACCAAAGAATCTATCATACTTCTTCTCCTAAGAGGCTTACAATATGATTCAAAGCGGGGTCATGTACTACCTGAATCAAACAAATGTATCACCAAGTATACTACAATTGAACAAAACTTACAATACACTGAATAACTAATATGACTAAACAAGTTTAATAATGATACTTGGTAGTTGATATGTGAAAAATAAATAAATAAAATCCAAATTTATGTTAAAAAGAAAAATTATCTTTGATAATTTGATTCAGTCCCGTATTTCAGTAAAACAGAGTTCGAACTAGGATTTTCAATCAAATCAACAGGAAAATGACTCAGAATGATACACTGCTTTACAAAATGCAACATCTACAAACATAGATGAACCTTTAACCACTACAAACATGATATTAAATCTTTCTTCATATTTCTCATAATTATATTGGTAAAAAAAAAGACATGTTGAACATAAGACATACCTTATCATAAAAACTAGTGTAACTCTGCCAAATATATCAAATTAAATATATATATATATATATATATATAAATAAAACAAGTAAAATTAAAAATAAAAATAAAGAGATAACAAGATAATTATCTGTTATGGAAAAAATAAGTGAGAATATAGAATCAAATTCAGAATAAGGTTTTCAACAACTTCCTGGTGAATCAAACCCATCACAACAGAATCAGAACGTATGCCAAAAATTCAAAGTATAATCATTGGCCATTCAGCAATATACAAATAACAGGCAAGATTACTCTCTCTGTGGTTCATCATTGCTACAAAAAATTATCTGAAGTATAACAAGCACAAGCAGACTAGCCTGTTCGCCTTCTTGGGAACTTGAATGACCTCTCTTAATCTCCTAACTGGTTTCTTGGCACTAACCTCCATTGGCCTTTAAAAATTCCATAATAAGCTATTAAACAATACAATATAATCACAAAAATCAACAAATAAATACAACACCTGTTCATGTTTGCCCGGCTACCCTTTTTCTCTTGCTGGAACACCGCGTGTGACCCATTAGAGCGTGATTTTGGTATCTCCTCAAATGTAACATCTGCAAGCCCTCACTCTATTTCCCCTCCTAACCAAATAGGACACATCATAATTATTTGTATAAGCACATATACATGTTTATATATACTAGTCGTGTATGCAAACACATTTCACATCTAAATTTTGGGCAATTTAATGAATGAGAAAGATGTGTTGAATTTGAAAATGTTTAGCAATTACTTACCGCATGTGGAGTTTTAAAATAACAGAATTATGGTTTTGGAATTAAAAAAAAAAAAAGTGCTAGCCATTAACAATTTTATGGACATTCTTGGAAAAACAAAAGAATGCAGTGACGTTTTAGAAAACGTACAACCCATTTGGAGTGAAGGTTTTCTAAAGTTTTGTCACTTTTTTATTTTTATTCTTTTTAAATTTGCCCATAAAATTGTTAACTACTCACATTTTGTTTTTCAAAACTACAATTCCATTAATTTTGTTAACATATTAATATAATTGTTAATATAACATATTAATATAATTGTTAATATAATATGTTAATATATTATAGTATGTATATAATAGGATTCCTTGTCCTTGCTTTCGGTCGCCCGCCTTCTTTCGGCCTCCTTTTCCTTATTATATTGAATTATATCATAATTGTACGGGGAAGAAATAATTTTCCTCGTATAATCCTGTTGACTAAGTCCACGCTTCTCCGTACGACGTCGCTTTATCACCTGAAAACACAAACGTGAGCTAGCCGGCGGGTGTGTGCCGGAAACCTCTCCGATGCCTAAGTCAGTAAACTTGACAAATAGACAAAGCTCTATGTTTTCAGAAAGCAAAGTTGTGTGTTGTGTTATGTTACCTCCTCCAAGGTGATGCTTGTGAGCTTTTATAGGTTTCGAGTGGCATAATCCTAGTAGGACTTTTATTTCTCCATGCAGAGTCCTCCTAGGATTCATATTCCTAAAGGATAATGCTTATCCTTTTACACCCCCCCTACTGCTTAAACCAAGTGGGATGGTTTTTACTTTGGTCGAATTACCATATGACCGAAATAATACTGGCTATACCGAGCCACGGAGTAGGCCGTACTAACAGTAGTTCGGTTCTTCTTCTTTCTACATCATATTTCGGTTCTCTTTATGCACGAACCATGGTGTGGTTGGACCGATCTATCGAATAGCAACATTCCGACCGACCTACCCAGAATACATCATGGCCAGACTATCTCCGAGACCGACCTTACTAGAAAAGTTGTACGGACCGGAGTAACTTAACATCTCTTCTGGGCCGAAGTAACTTTACCATTCTTCAACCGGAGTAACTTTATTACTCTTGGACCGGAGTAACTTTTATATTTCCATTGGGCCTTTTTATCCAGTCCTTCGTACTTTGGGTCATAAAGTCCATCTCTGTAGCTCGGCCCAATTTTTACCAAAAATTACCCTCTCAATAATAATGTTTTGTATCCAGCTCCTATATTATGGAGCCTCTATTTGGTTTCTGAATATAGTTTCAATTACAGAGAGTTCTCTTTCAATATCACTCTCTCAACTCTCTCTCAACTTATTTTACATGGTATCAGAGCACAGGTGTTTTTCCTAAGTCTCTGCATCACATTTTCTTTTCTTGGCAGATTGCTGCGTACCTCGTCCTTATCTAATATACAGATTGGACAACACCAGCACCTTCGTCTTTTCACGACGAAGCCAACGCCACCAGATTCATCATCATCTGAAGTCTCACGCGCCTCCACGCGCAGCCAGAACATTAGGCAACGCGCTTCCTCGTTGCAGACGCGCTTTACGCACCTCCTACACTGTTCGGTGCTATTGTGCGCCATGGCCTCATCTGCTAACGTGAGCCGCGTGTTTCTGACGTCAGCCGACGTCAGCCCTGGCTGCTTCCGTGCGCCGCATGTTTCTCGCTTGCTAACGTGCGCCGCGCAACTCTATGCTAACGTGCGCCGCGCCTGTGACATCAGCCCTGCATCATCCTTGTTTCACCAGATTCGTTGACTAATCCATTTTCTGTCTTTCTGGTCATATTTTTGGTCCGTTCACTCCTTTTCTGACTGATTTTGACCATCTGAATTCACTAGTAACCTCGGTTTTTTCAGATTCTACCTCAATTGTGCTATTTTTCTCTCATGGATCGCCTGGACTCCTCTAACCACCCTATTTCCGTTATTCTTGACGGGACTAATTATGTCCTATGAGCACAAGCTATGTCTGGCTTCCTTAAAGGAAAGAAACTTTGGCGCATCATCACTGGGGATGTATGCAAACCCGTTCAAGGGACCACGGATTCCGCTGCCACAGACTCCGCTGCCGAATATGTCGACCGACTAGAAGATTGGGATAGTAAAAACTATCAGATCATTACTTGGTTTCGCAATACTTCTATTACATCTATCAGCCTTCAGTTTGGTCGGTTCCAACTTGACTCTGCTTCCTCTCCTGCCAAAGCCATTTGGGATTTTTTACAAGAACGCTATCAGACTACTGGCCTTGCTCACCAATATCAGCTTCTGAGTCATCTTCACCGTATGCGCCAAGAAACAACTCAGAACATTAATGATTTCCTCTCCCAAATGTATTATGTTTGGGATCAGCTCGCTCTTTCTGAACCTCCATGGGATTGTACTAAGGATGCTGCCTTGTTTACTACTTACCGTGACCAACAACGCTTGGTTCAGTTTCTCATGGCTCTCACTCCCCGATTTGAGCCAGTACGCGCATCTCTCCTTCATCGCACTCCTTTACCCACTTTTGAGCAAGCAATTTCTGAACTTCTGTCAGAGGAAACCAGATTTGGTACTCTCCATCCGCACCCTGTGGACTCTGTTCTTGCCACTCCCCAGATTCGCAGTTCTCCTTCCTCACCTTCACCACAGAAGTCCAATGCCTGCAATTACTGTCACAACCGCAATCTTCTGTCAACTCATCTTCTGGTTAATTGTCCAGTTCGTCTTTGTCGGTTTTGCAACAAGACTGGCCCTGGTCATCTCTAGCAAGATTGCTTCCGCAATCCCGCCCGTGCCTCTCGCACTGGTTCTTCCACCGGGAATTTTTCTCGCAGCCACTCTCACCGTTCTGGGACTCCGTTTAAACCAATGCCTGCTCAACGCACTGCTGCTGCTGCCTCAGAGGATTTACCTTCCTCTGTTCCTATAGACCCTTCCACTCCAGTCTTCTCTCAAATCGATGTCGAAGCCATGTTTCAACATTTTTGGCAAAATTCTGGTACTCCTCCATCTACTGCTTTATCTGTCACCGCAAGTAACTCTTCTTGGTACTTTGACTCCGCTTGTTGTAATCACATGACCTTTGACCCTACTATTTTTACTCCTCTCTCTTCTACTCCTCGTGTTCCTTCTATCCATACTGCTGATGGGTCTCTTCTGTCTGTAAGTTATGTTGGTTCTGTTTCAACCTCTCACTTACCTTTATCCCATGTCTATCTTATGCCTGCTCTTACTTTAAATCTTATCTCCATTAGTTAATTATGTGAGCATGGTCTCACTGTTACCTTTTCCTGTACTGGTTGTTTGGTGCAGGACCCTCGGATGGGGCAACTCTTGGGATAGGCCGAAAGCTTGGACGTCTCTACGAACTCATCCATCTTCATGTTCCAGATTCCTCTCAGATCACAGCTCCTACCACTGCTACCACTGCTCCTCCTTTATCTCCTTTTCAGCTTTGACATTGTCGTTTAGGCCATCTTTCTATTGGTCGTTTAAAATCTTTAATTTCCAGTGGTCATTTAGGTCATGTAAGTTCTGATATTTTAGATTGTGTATCCTGTCAACTTGCCAAACAACCTGCCTTGTCGTTTAATAAAAGTGACTCTGTTTCTCTTGCACCATTTGATCTCATTCATTCTGATATTTGGGGACCCTCTCCTACTCCTACTATGGGCGGCGCACGCTATTTTGTTATTTTTATAGATGATTTTTCCCGTTTTACATGGTTGTTTCTTATGAAAAATCGCTCTGAGCTCAAACAACTTTATTACAATTTTGCTGTAATGGTTAAAACACAATTTTCTAAAAATATTAAGCTTTTTCGCTCCGACAATGCCATGGAATATAAAGATTTTGACTTTCTTTCCTTTCTTCAGAGTCATGGTACTCAACCTCATCGTTCCTGTCCCAGTACATCTCAACAAAATGGACGTGCTGAACGGAAGCATCGACATATTCTTGACACTACTCGAGCTCTCCTTCTGTCTTCCTCTTGTCCGGAACATTTTTGGAAAGAGGCAGCTCTCACTGCTGCTTACACTATCAATTGTATCCCTACCTGTCATTCATAATCACACTCCTTATGAGCGTCTGCATGGCACCCGTCCCCCTTCCACCAACCTTAGGGTCTTTGGATCTGCCTGTTTTGTTCTTCTCTAACCTCATGAACGTACCAAACTTGAACCACGTTCTCGCCTTTGTTGCTTCTTAGGGTATGGTATTGAACACAAGGGGTATCGTTGTTGGGATCCGCTCTCCCAGTGACTCCGTATCTCTCGTCATGTAGTCTTTTGGGAACACAAAATGTTTTCCTCTCTCTCTCTCTCTCTTCCGTTTGTCCGTTCCCTCACCCTCTCTGTTTTTTACTGACCCTTCCACAGATCTGTTCTCTGATGAGCTTACCCCACCGCCCTTGCCAGCTTTTCTCGAGTTCTCTGATGAGCTTACTCCACCGCCCCTACCAGCCTCTCTCGAGCCTGCCTTGCCTACTAGTCTGTCCCATGCACCTGCTAACTCTGATGGTCCTGCTCTTGCTCCATCGGGATCCTCCCCTCCTGGTGAGTCTCTCCCTCTGGCTCCTCCTGCCTCTACTCGACCACACCGGGTAACCCAACCTTCTACTCGTCTTCGTGACTTTATTGTTGGTTCTACTGCTTTTTCTACTTATGAACCGACCTCCTATCGTGAGGCTCGCTCTAATCTTCTTTGGCAGCAAGCTATGACTGATGAATTGCAAGCTTTAGACAAAACTCACACTTGGGACATTGTTGATCTTCCTCCTGGCAAGACTACCATTGGTTGCAAATGGGTCTACAAAATCAAAACTTGTTCTGATGGATCTATTGAGCGCTACAAAGCCCGCCTTGTTGCAAAAGGCTTCAACCAAGAATATGGTATTGACTATGAAGAGACGTTTGCTCCTGTTGCTCGTCTCACCTCTG